GTTAAAACTAATTGCAACGTAAGTTGCAACATTAAAAGTTGCAACATATTAATTACAGTTCCCATCTTTAGTTATTATAAAGATTTAATTAAGAAAATTATTAGTAATTGTATTAAAAAATTTCAAAAATAGTTTTTACAAATTAAGTTTAATAACAGGTGAATTTTTACTATTAAACTTAGTAAAATAACTCTGCAATCTCGGTTTTACTAAGAAAACTTAGTAAAAACCGCCATCACAGCTTCAGTTTACTAAGAAAACTTAGTAATAACTGCCATTGCAACTTTGGTTTACTAAGAAAACTTAGTAATAACTGCCATCGCAGCTTCAGTTTACTAAAAAAACTTAGTAATAACTGCCATTGCAGCTTCAGTTTTACTAAGAAAACTTAGTAAAAACTGCCATCTCAGCTTCGTAACCATTTTATTATTAAAAAAACATTTCCAAAGCCACAGAGGCAGTGTATAAAATCTAAGTTAAAATTTATGTACACAAATTGATTAATTATTACTAAAATAAGAAAACCATAACATTTTCTTATGTAAAATTATCTTTTTTACATAATTTATCTATTTTTAGTAATAATTTGTGCACATTTTATATTGTGTAATATGTGCACACAACCAATTAATATGCACATGTGCACATTGTGCACATAGATTTTACACACTGCACGGAAGCGTTTTTTACTAGGTTTCTTAGTAATAAAGGTTTCTGAAGTCGCAGAGGCGTTTTTACTAGGTTTCTTAGTAATAAACGTTTCCAAAGTCACATAGGCATTTTTACTATATTTTCTTGGTAAAATAATGTTTCCGAAAGCTGTGAAGGCATTTTTTACTATGTTTTTCTTAGTAAAAAAGGCATTTCTGAAGCTGCAGAGGCACTTTTTCTATGGTTTTCTTAGTAAGAATCACTTCTGAAGCTTTGGAGATAGCTTTACTATTAATTCGAATCAAATCAAATATTTGAATACTTGATTTGAATTTGATCGAATCAAATCAAACATTGATTTAGATTTGATCAAATAAATCATTTTTTGATTTAAATTTGATCAAATCAAATCAAATATAAATTTGAATTTGTTTTTGATTTGATTTTCAAATCAAATATCAAATATCAAATCGAATTGTGAAATCCTATATATAGCAACAGGCTACTATTACTTTCACAGAAGAAGCTAACTTTAAAGGATTAAAAGAGTGCTATGGCCTTTTCATATACAATAGTTCATATGTGTAATTTACCTCACGCAGAAATCCTATCACGTTTTAAATTCTCAGCAAAACTTGCTAGTCTTCTGCGTTCGACTACTGGTAAACAACTTATCAAAATAGGAAAAATGATCAATGCCATTACCTGGATCATTTCAAAAGTCCGCTCAAATTATCACAATAAACAACATGCATTTTTATATTTTGCATCAGCTGATAACTGTAAAGTTGTCATATCTAATGAAAATTTTACCAATGAAGGTAAACACATGATCTGGACTAGTTCGAAAGCTAAGTTTTATGCATTATGTTACACTTCAAATCATAAAGCTAATGACTACCTAATATGAAGGAAACTCTAGTTGATCATAATATGCAAAATTTGTATCAAAAATTTCAACCAGCCCAATATTCTAATTATAAAGCCCCCAAAAATGAAAGACACAGTACATCCAGATATTACTTTTGCTCAGGTCACTAATAATTCACCTAACAATGATGTCTACAATAAACAAAATCATTCTCTTAACAAAAACAATAATAAATCACAATAAAAAACAATCACAATCAGCACAAAGACAAAACCCCCTAATTTAGTTCTTGGTCAGATGATATCCCACCAAATATGAACAATAAAATTCTTTTTGATAATACTATTTGTTTTATTTCTAATGGATAACTCTATAAAGGAACCAAAGAAGATGGATCTATACACGCTAACAATAATGAAGATTTTAAATCATTTATCAAATCACAGTTTAGCAACTTTAAAGAAAGTCTGAACTAATATAACAAATTTAAATTTATTTAAATTTATTAAATTTATATTTTTATTATTTTAAATTCAAATTTCTTAAAAAGTGACACTTTATAATATATAAAATAAAGTAAAATAAAAAAGGAAGTCAAAAATTCTACCTTTAATTGACTTATTATATAATATATTCCTAAAAAATAATAAGAAAGAAAAATTTTCACCAAAAAAGTTACTTTTAATTTGTTTATCTTAATTTCAAAATAATAATTTTTCTAAAAAAATAAAAGAAAAAAAAACCATCTAAAAGTACTTCTGATTTACTTATCTTTCTAAAATGAGAAATTTCTTAAAAAAAAGAAAATATACTCAAAAACTTGTCTTAGATTTACTTATCTTATTTTTAAATAAGAATTTTCCTATAAAAATAAGAAAAAAAAAGGAAAAAACACACAAAACTTGCATACAAATTTTGCAACTGAATTTTTGGATGGAAAAATTAATTTAGAAATATGTATTATGAATGGATAAAATATGATAGGACCTACGTGACGCAGATGATCGACAAATCTGACAGATCTGACAAATCTAACAAATCTGACATTTCTGATATGTCTGACATATATGATATATCTGACATAATCGACAAATAAGATATATTAGACAGATTCAACATATATGACATATCGGACATATTTGACATATACGATAAATTAGATATATTAGTTATATTTTTCTATATACTATATTGTATATAAATAGGTAGCTTTTTAGACCATGTAAAAAGTAGAATTTGACAAGTCAGTTTTTAAGTAGTTTTAAGAGACAAACAGGCCTATCATGTTACATTTTAGTTTCATACTTCGTTTCTTATTTTCTTTTCTTTTCTTTTCTTTTGTCATATCTTTTATTTTCTTTATTTTTATTTCTACTCTTATCAATAAACATCTTACTTGAAAATACAATTACTCAATACCTTGTGGATTACTGATCGTAAAATACTTGTATAAACCTTGACTTAGAACCTTTACTTGAATTAGTTATGATAATAAACTTGTAAAAGTCTTGAGATTACTGCGCCAATTAAAAAGAAATAACTCTCTGACACCTCATCTAACAGTTGTAGTTCGCAAGAATTACACATTAACAGTATGTCACATTTCAATTATGATCAAAAAATTATGTTAATCATGCAAAATAATTAAGGAAAATGGAACATAGTATAGTATATTAAAGAAGATGTTTATTTTGTAAACAAAATTTTTATTTTTTTAATCAAGAATGAATTGTCGTCAACATTTTTGGAATATTTTTAATAAAAATATACAAGTAGCTTGCAATAGACAATTTAGTTGTAATGCATATGAAGTATATCCAAATATATCAAAGTTAGTTAAAGCAGAATTTCCAGATCCTCAATATATATGTTGCAGTTGTTTTGAAATTAATGGAGGATATATTCATCAAAGAAGTGGTTCAGGAAAGCCTAAATTTGGTTGTAAAAATACCAGATTACATGATGAAGATACTAATAAAATGCTCACAACATTAGCAAATTAACTTTTATATATTGTAAAAAATGAAAATGAAATATAAAACTATCCTTATGTATATACTACATCCTGCATTATATTTTCTTCAAACCAAAAAGTACTAAAAAAGATGATAATTTTAATGCAAATTATCAATTACCAATATTTTTTATTACTTCTACTGTTTCTGCTTCTTTCTCTACTTCTACTACTTCTACTACTTCTGCTGCTTCTACTATTTCCACTACTTCTCTGCTTCTGTTACTTCTATTACTTCTACTACTTCTAGTATTACTCCTATTAATACATTAAATAATATTTAATTACTTACCTTTTTTGCATTTCAAATTTTTTTAAAAATGAATAAACTTTCAAATATACATTCTTCTAAATTAAATATTTCCAATGAACAATGGCCTAATATAGGGAAAAAATTGGCTGAATGTATTTGAAAATCACGAAAAGAATTAAATGAACAAAAGGATATATTCAAAATCTAACATTTTTTGAAAATTATTATTCAGCTTTTTCATCATATTTAATCAGATTTTTTGGAAGTTTATGTAGAAAGATTTTGAAAAATAAATTAAAAATATCAAATGCTTAATTAAAATCTTAAAAAAAATCATTAAAACAACTTAATGAAAAACAATTTATGAAAATAGTTATCTTTTTTATTTCAGTATTAGTTGGAACTACATTTCCAGGTTTATAAGTTTAGTTTACCAAGTACTTACAAGCCTTAGTTGCAAACCAAAACTTATTCAACAATTTCATCATCTTTTTTCTATTTTACAAATAAGTGGACATACCAATGGTCAAAAAAGAAAACTAGAAAAAAATCGAATGAAATCTATAAACCCATGTCAATACTTTAACAAAAATAAAAATATTTGAAATTTAGCTATTATTGATAATATAGATTTCAAAGAAGCAATTTTTAGATATGAAAACATTTTTAACACAATACGTATCAGTACATATATTACACTTAAAATAGTTTTCAACACCAAATGCCTTTTGATTTGCATGAAAATATAAAAGATAAAAATTATGTTAATTCTCCATTAAAATTATTTGATATAAATCAAATAATTAGAGATATTTTAAATACCTTTGATTCTATTTTGGATCTTCTTAATATTGAAATAAATTCACAAGAAATAGCAGTTTATTAAACAAATTTCAATATGAATACTATACATGAAAAATTTTGAATTATGTTGAATATAGATGTAAAGTAAATTTTCTGAATATAGTAATTTTAGAATCTGATAGAACTCTGAATTTAGATGAAGGTATTTTTGAATTTGTACAAATATACAAATAAGATTTAGAATTAAAATCGAAAGAATATTTAGACATAATTGACAATGAAGCAATTTTTCGAAGAATGGTTAAATGCATAGATAAATAGCTTCAATTATGTCTAATTATTAATCAGTAGCACACATCAAAAGATATGTGTAGCATTCTAATTATTCTCTTTTTAAGTTATGGTATTTTTGATCTTACAAATTGGCTTGGAGTTAAATTTTTAGAAAAATTAGAATTATAGATCTACTGTCTGTATTCTTGAATTAATATGAATTGCTATAGCTTTAGCATTCTGAATCTATATAAAAAAAAATATTAATAAAAATGAAATTTGGGAAAATAACCTTTATTATCAATAGGCTAGAATATTTAAAACCCATTGTGTTAGTATTTGAGTTGGAAAATATGATTTACAAAAAAATGCTTTAGTTGCATTTAGTGGATTATTTGCTTTAGCAGTCAAAAATCATTATGCTAGTTTTATGTGTCAATTATTAATATTTTGGAAAAATATCCTAAGTTAAAGAATAAATTATATTATGCAGCTTCTATTAGGATTGATCATGATTAAGGTTGCTTATCTAAACTTATTTTGAATTTGGCTAAACGTCTAAACCTTTAATTTTACTAAATTTTTACTAAGTGTTTGATATAGTTTTACCATTTTTATAAGCTTTGATATAGTTTTACCTTTTTCTGAATTTTGCAGATTTTTTAATAAGATTTTAATATAATTTAACCAAGTTTTACTTTTATGATTTAGATATCTGTCTAAACTCTAAATTTTATCTAGCAACCTTAATCATAATGAAAAATAATGAGGACATTTTTTTGTCTATGATAAAGCATTAGAAACTTTTAGAATGAAGTTCATTAAACAAAATATATTAGAAAATGTAATTAATATTGAAAATTTAAAAATGCAGATAAAATCAGCACAAATGGAATGAGATTAAATTGGAATTTTATTATTTGAATACCTTAATGATCTAATAGCATCGATTAGAAATCATACAGTAAACCAAAAATATGATTCAATATGAAACCTGATTAAAATTCTTCTTTGAGAGTTTGATTAAATAAATGAATCATTTATTAATAATGATATATGGAAAATGTTTATTGAATGCAATTAATAGCTGAAGGAATAACTCAACTTAAAAATTGCTTTCCTAATGGAGTAATTTATATGTGAGCAATTTATTATGAAGATATTCTTAAAACAAGATTCATTTAACCAGAAAGAAGTAAATTAGGTATATTTAAATTGAAATATCAAATTTTCAAAAAGAACTTAAAGAAACAAAAAAAACAAAAAAAACAGAACATGTATAAACCTTAGAATTACAATCAATAAATCAATTGAATGATAAAAATTCTAATCAAATAACATTATATCAATCACAAGAAAATGAATTGTCACATAAACGTAAACAAAAGGCTAAGCGAATTCCTAATTTAAAAGAACCAGCTCCTTTTGAACCTTTAATTTTAAGCCAAACCAACAAATGAAGAAATAAAGGAAATGTTAAATAACTTGTTATATGAATGAGATTTAAGTCAAATTAAACAACATGTTTAATATTGAAGAACTAATAATAGTGATAACTACTAGCAGTACTGTTTAAGAATTATACAAAGCGTTGTAAAGAATAAGTTAGAATTTACATACAGGATAAGCAATTTATTTATTATACATAAAATAAAAATATTACTTACCTTAAAATTGTCATATAAGAAGGTTCTAAAAAGAAACAAAATCAAAGATAGCAAGTTATTTTACAAATACTTAAGTATAAAATTTTTCATTAAAAATTAACTTAGTAAAGAATTCCTCAAATTTATGTCAAAATATACCATCCTTTATAATAGTTGTAGAAGTTAGATTAAGGCTTTTATAAATAAAATAATAATTATATTAAGTAGGATAGATGTTTGTGTATAAATTTTATTAATATGATTGGTCAGAAAATATGTAATTTTGAACCGTTTGCAATATACTTAAGTTACACAAGTTATAGTGACACAAAAAATCTAATTAGAATTGGTAAGCTTATATGATATGTACATTAACTAATAGGAAAAGTAAAAAAATATGATGAAATTTTGGTTGATAATATGAATGTAAAGAAGAAATTAAAAAATTTAATAATAATTCAAAAAGTCATAAATCAAATATTATGGATATTCTTTCTAATGTAATTATATCAATAAATGAATTAAAAGAAAAATTTTTGGTAAAAAAATAGATTTACAAATAAAAAATGAGTAATAAAATAAAATTAGAAAAATATAAAGTTAATCAAAAAATAGAATTAAAAAAATTAGAATTAAAAATTTAAAAACAGAAACTTAAAATAAAAAAAATAAATACAAAAATATAAAATTAATTTGAATTAGAGAAAATAAAATCTCAGTTAATATTACTCTGATTCTTTATTATTTAATTTCTCATGACTAAACAGATCTAATAAGCTATATTATATTAATTTTGGATTAGCCAATTATGAGATAATCATGAATAAATTATTGGAAAAATTATAATTCAATAATTTTACTTTAAATAAAATGTTCAGATTTTTAAAATACGATCACAATTATCTTAAGATTAGCTAATCTAAAATTAATATAATATAGTTTATTGACTGTTCAGTTTTAATAAATTGAATGATAGAATTTAATAAAAATAAAATAATATTAATTAAAATCGTATATATTTTTTTTTAATTTTTTAATATATGAAAAATTATGTGATATGAAATAGTTTTAAGTTTCATTTTGACTTTATTTTCTAAAGTTAAATATTTTTAATTTTTGAATTTTCATTTTGACTTTATATATAATAATTATTAATCATTGTAAAATCTGAATCTTTTGCATAAATTAATAAAAGAACTTAATTTAAACTTTTTCATACTAAATATTAAATTAGTTAAGAAATTAATTTACAAATCATATAATAATATCTATTTTTAATTAAACAATTTAAAATAATAATTCTTCTTTAATATGTTTAATTATTGATATTTTAAATATTTAAAATTGTCAAGAAAATTTAGGAGTTATATGTTTTCTTTAGATAAATCCTTTAATATTTATAAAATTACAATAAAATATATTAGATATTATTAATGTGTGATTTTGATAGATTATTACAATTAGACAGGATGTTTAAGTGGTATTTTTTAACTTATGTAATAATTTTATTAAATTTTACTAAGACTGGTATAGTTTTTACAAAAATTCACAAAGGCTGTAAATGCATCACTAAGACTCACAAAGGCTGTATTTTACTAAGATTTATAATTTATTATAATAATTTACACAGACAAAGATTTATAATTTATGAAGATTGATGTATACCATAGATTTACAAAGATGTAAAAGATAAAATAAAAAGAGTTTATTGATAAAAATATAATAAAAAAAAATAAATAGAAAAATAAAATAGAAAAAGTTAGATTTATGAAGATTGATCATATAGTTAGTTAATTTAATCATATTCAGTTTTATGTATTATGTATTTAAGCAATCTTACATAATTTGGCTTGATCAATGTTCATTTTTTAAAGATTTTGAAATATCACATAATATTATTGACTTGTCTAATTTGAAACTTTAGGATATTTTTTCTCTTTATCACTAAATTTTATTATGTTCTTCTATTTAATAGATAAAATAGTTTGTTTAGAATCTTACTGATCAAATTTATAGTGTAGTAAGAGGCTAAGCCCTTTTTCTTTTCTAATTACTGGAATATGATAATATAGTTTCAATTGTATTAAATTCTGAAAAAATGTAAAATCAGTCTTGATTTAGATAATTTCATAATTATTTTTGTAAATTTTGAATATATGTAATTTTTTAATTCTTTTTCAACAAAATTTTTGCAAAACTACCACAAAAAAAAAATAAAAAATGTTACAATTAAAGTTAATTCTTTTTAATATATATTAAATTTTTTACAATTTTATATATAAGAGGTTTGCTATTAAAATTTTCAGATCATATATTTCTAACCTGATTTTAATAGTAAATGACTAATATAATCCAATTATTTTATATATAAAGATGATTATTAAATTATAACTATTTGGATTGCAATCTAGATTAAAAATAATTGCAAAATCTTAATATAAGAATTTATTATATATATTAACTTATTTTTTATTATTATTATTATTTATATAATTTATAATATATATAATTTTTTACTTATATATAATAAAATTTACTACTTTATCAAAATTACATATATAATTATAATTATAATAATATAATTAAAATTAAAATTTTAAAACTCATAAATTTGAATGATACTTAAGAAATATTTTAAATATTATGAATTTATATTTGATTTGATAGTAATATTTAATCAATTAGATTAAAGAAATTGCTAATGTGAAATTTGATGATTAAATATAAATAAATAAATATCTAAAATATTATTTATACATAATAGAATTTTAATTAATGTAAAATAAACAAATTTGCAAAATTGATTTTTACAAAAATGACTTCTGATTTAAATGTGATGTATTATTTTACTAAAAATTAATGATAGTTAAACGTTTCTCTAATCCCTGTTAAGGGTTTCGAAACTTAAAAGACTGTCACTAATTTCTAATAATGTAGTATCTTAGTGCAGGCATTCATATAAACCCCTAATCGAAAAAGGTTAAACTTCTGAGCTATCAGAATGACCAGTCCTTATACGAAGATATCAAAATTAGATAATAATTAATATAAAATTTAAAAGATGTAATGATAATTAAGTAAATATTAAGAATATGTAAATATTTTTTATTTAAAATCATAATGAATTTAGCTGGGATACAATAAGCATCAAATGAAACGATGTTTTAAATCTAGAAACTTCAAAAGTTGTAAGATAATTAAATTTGAACTAATTTCGATAGCTATTTCATCTTGATAAAAAGAATTGTCCTTTTTAACACTTTAAACACCGATATTAAACCTTCAAGAGCAAATCATCGAAAGGAGATCAATTAGTAATAATTCTCTTAAGGGGGGAAGAATTTAAATTGATGATATTTACCAAAGTTCCAAGTGAAATCCGTACGTTAAAGTATTTATTGTATGACTATATTTTGATTTATTAAAGATTTATCGTTATTATTATCATATAAATATTTAGCAAAAGGAAAGAAAAAAAACAAAATAAGTATACTTACATCCTTCATGAATTTCTTCATACCAGGTTTCAGGATATTACAAAAAACCTGAAAATAAAAATAAATACATTCGAAATATCGAATGTATTTGTCACTATACGTCCCCCTTCTCAAATGTTGCATTTGGTAATGCAGAAGGGAACATTGAAAGATTGTCAATCCCCTTAAAATGGATTGTGGATATGACATTAACGATCTAAGTTTTTAAAAGATTCAGCAAGTCAGGTTAAACAAATTAGGTAAAAGTTTCACGCACACTAGCTAACTTACGCAATATTAACACCTGAATCCGGAGCCATAACTAGTGCAGAAAATTTATTCAGCCAAATATATCGAAATGCTAACAAAAAATAAACCGTTATTAATTAATTAGCAACATTCCTCAAACGAAAAAGAATTTCATACCATATCCATCATCATCCGGTAAAGTTTTTCGAGTTGAAGTGTCTATGCTATTTATTATCTTCTTTAACATATTTAACTGCGTTGGGTTATCGGGCATTATAAAAGAAATATACTCTTCGTGATGAATGAGTGAATGAGAGAAATATTAGAATTGTTCTGTTCAGTAACCAAGAAAATGATTTTTGAAACTTCTAATTATAGAAAGGCTTATCTTATCGCTTATCAATAATTTTATTGGACATTATCCAAATATATGATTTTCAGGTCTTATTTTCCCGGTCAGTTTCAAAGCTTATTTAGTAGACAAAATAAACGTTTCTTTTATAATACACGAAAACCCAACGCAGTTAAATATGTTAAGGGAGATAAAAAATTTATTAACAAAATATGACGATTCTATTCGATATACTTTACCGGGAAGATGGATATGGTATGTGATATGTTGCCAGATGAATTAAAAATAGGCTATTTTTGTTAGCATTTCGATATATTTGGCTGAATAAATTTTCTGCACTAGTTATGGTTCCGTAAGTTAGCTAAGTTAGCTAGTGTGCGTGAACTAATTTGTTTCAGGATTTGTAATATCAAGTTTTAAATCCCATTATAATGTTGTCCTCAAATGCAACATTTGAGAAGGGAGACGTAACTTTTCGTCTCCCATATAATGACAAATACTTCGAAAGTATGAGTAGGAAGTTTATAGTATCGTGAACCTGGTGACTTTGGTAATTAATCAAAGGTCCTTCCATGAAGGTATTGATGAAGGGATGTAAGTATTCTGTATTTTCTTTCTTTCCTTCTATACTGAATATTTATGATGATAAAGATAAGAATAATTCAAAATATAGTCATACAATACTTTAACGAGATTATTGCTATTTCCCTTGAACTTTGGTAAATATTATTTATTCCCCTTTAAAAAATATTATTCCTTTCGATCATAGGCTCTAAAGGTTTAATATCGGTGTTTAAAGTAATGAATTTTCAACATTGCCCGATAATTGATGCAATAATTAGATCATCTTGAAACTTTTGAATTTAAAACATCATTTCAAGATTATAGATTTATAGCTGATTTTTAAATACAAATTGATTTATTAATATATTCTTAATTTCTTTACATCTATTGATTAATTTAAATATGGTCACAATAAATTATCTTCTTTAAAATTTTGATCATAATTTTCGACCCAATTATATTGCTGTTAATAAAATGTATTATAAAAAAATGATACCTAGCTTCTAGTTAAAGAAGTATAATTCAAAACAATCAAAGATGATTGCATAAACAATTCATGCTATTTGCAAGTTTTAAGATTTTTGGATTTTTGCATAGTCAAAAGCACAATTGATAAATTTTCCATTTTCTCTAAATATTGATAGATTAATCATATCACAATAATAAGATACATTATTGTTTGTTTTCAGCATGTTATTGTTATTGAAGGAAATAAACACATTATTGAAAATGCTTATAGCTTTTAAATTTAATGCTGAAGCATAGATGCTAGAGATCAAAATCATCATTAAAACTGCTCATATTACTAGATCTTAGAGATTCAGATTTTAAAGATTAAGATGCTTCTTCATAAAGAGAAATAGTCTTTGATAATAAAGTTCTTAGAGAAATAAATTTAGAGACCAAGGTGCTATTTAAAGAGAAAAAACAAACCTATCATCAATATTATTAAAAATGCTTATCTCTTGATAGACTTGTTGAAGTATAGTTATTAATGTATTCTTATTAGAATGACCTTAAGTAATAACTCTTAATTTAAAATAAGATTAAGAATATTCTGTTTCTATTAGTAACTTTGCAATTACCTTTTTAACTTTATTATTTTATTTAATTTATTATTTAGTTAAAGCTATACTTGAAATTGAAATCAATCTATTTCAGATATTTGAAATATAAAAAAGTTGAAATTAAATATCATGTCATACGATTTTTTATATACATAAAAATTAAAATAAAATATATATAAATTCACTCAATAATACCACTATTTGACATAGCATAACTAGGTGAATCTAATGAGCTAAAAAGCATTAATATTGAATTAACTATTCTTAAGATAATCATAATTAAAATTTAAATTTATGCTATTTATATTTTAGAATTTATTAAGTTATAATTTTAATCAAAAATTCAATTGCAGTTATTTCTCAGATTGTTAATAATTGGTGAATATGTTAAAATTTCCTTAAGGGCTTAAACTCAAGCATCATGATAAAATCTGAAATAATCAAATATGTAAGTTACTAGATAAAAACTTTAGTTACTCAATATGACTATATAGGAGGTTAATATTAAATCATATTTAGTTTATATGATTTACTATATTATATAGTTAAGTTTAATCACAAATAACCTATATTATATTTTCTTATACGTACATAAATAAGACATTTATCAAAAATATTATAAATTTTACCATTATAATCGCAGAAATACCTCTAAAGTATTTGAATCTGACTTTAAATCATTATGATTATTTATAAAATATAAATATTTGAATTTAGATTTCTAAATATAGAAATAATATATTAATATATTTATAGCACTTAATTTAATTGAATATTTAATTACGACTCAAAATTAATTTAATGTAACTATCAAGATATATTTACTGCGATCTTTATTGATATATAAGATGAAATTCTTTTTGAGAAAAATGTTTGGAACATATTCTCAATATAAAAATAAGTTTTGAAACATAATTTTTAATGAAGAAAATATCAGGACTTATTTTTTGGTAAGAAATACATCACAAGACATAAATTTCTTTAAGAAAATATTTGTGATGTATTTTTATTAAAGTAAATTACTTATTACATTATTGTAATAAGAAAATGAAATTGATTTAAAAAATAAAGTTTTTAATCACAATTAATCAATTTGTTTGAGTTTGATATTTAACTGCTTGTTTAAGTCGTTATGTTAGTAATAATTAAATTCATTTCTGACATTTTAATAGTTCTAATATTTTAGGTTAAAATATCTTAGAATCAATTGTTGACATTTTGATTTATATAATATTATTTTTAATAATTTTGTTAATCTATATTAATTGATATATTTAAGAATTATATAATAAAACCTTTGAAATGAAATATTTATTATAAATAGTCTTCGTATTATTTTCTTTTTTAATAGAAAAAGAAAATATACTTAAGATAGTTTCTTCTTCTTAAACTTATTACAGAAAGCTGATTGAGATAGTAAGTAGTAAAGGTTAACTTCTTTTAAGTAAAATCTTTACTATTTCTATTTTTTTTAAATTTTGATTATTGTATATTAAATTGATAGATTTAAATCTAATATAATCAATAAAATTTTCATGTGATATTTTGTCTATATTTATATTTTATATTTAATAGAATAACTGATGTTTTCATAAGAAATGTTTGATAAAAGCTTTATTAATAATAAAAATAAAAGGAGTAAAAATAAATTTTATATAAAAGTTCATTTTTAATACTAGTAGATTAATTAATAATAATTCTAATTTGTAAATTTAAAATAAAAGAATAATTATTTCAATTATTTTAATTGAGTCTTAATAACTAGACAAAATGGTTTCTAAAATTAATATATTAAGGTTACTTGTCTAACCTTATTTTGGATTTGATTAAACATTTAAACCTTTAATTCTACTAATTTTTTTACTAAGTGTTTGATATAGTTTTGTCATTTTTATAAGCTTTAATATAGTTTTACTTTTTTTTTGAATTTGCAGATTTTTATTAAGATTTAATATAATTTAACCAAGTTTTACTTTTATCATTTAAATATCTGTCTAAACTCTTGATTTCATCTAATAATCTTAGTTAAGACTAATATTTTGAATGTTCTAAAGAATTATTACATCTACCTTTAATATATAAAAAATTATGTATTAAATATTTTAAAATAATGAAAAGAAATATTAATTTTCTTTAAAAATTATATATTGATTTAACTTTTTTTTTTTACTAAAAAACAATTAAAATTAAAAAAAAATATTAGAATATTATTACTATAAATTAATTAAATAATCACTTAAAATAAAAAATAGAAAATATAGAATTATAAATAATATCTATAAATCAATTTGTTTTAAAATAAAATTTTGATTTTAATAGTCATATTATAAAAATTTATATTTTAATATTAATATATTTAAAAATTTTAAAATTATAAAATCAAAAATTTTATATTTTAAGACAGAGAAAAAATATTAGGTAAAAATTCATTAATTTTTTTTTGTTTTTTTTTTTGTAATTTTTTTTAAACATAAACTTTATAAATTTTAATAACTTAAATATATAATAATAATCTATATAAATTATATTATTCAATCTATAACTGAATAATAAATAAAAGATAATTTATTAAATTCAAAAATACATATAAATATTTATATATTAAAAGTGATATCTAAAAGTAAAAAATAGATGATTCTTAATATTATATTTTTACCAATTTATAAAGAATAATTGAATATTTAAGCAAATTATAAATTTAATATGTAAATAATATTTTACAATAAATTTAACGAAAGAATTCAGAATCAATAATTTATAATATTTATTATTAAACTTTTAAGTTAAAAGTTCTGAAATTTATTAAAAAATATAATAATAAATAAATAAAAATATATATTAATTTAAATATAAATAATAACTAACAAATTTTAATTCATTTTAAATTAATTTTACAATTCAATTATTATATTTTAAATTATATTAAAGATATTGCTAATTTAATATAATTAATTTAAGAAAAAAATAAAAAGAAAAATGCATTTACTTTTTCAGAATTATAAATGATTAGGATTTTTTTTTGATATATTTATACAGTATGCAGATAAACAAATATATTTATTAATCATAAAAATCAAACATTTGTAGTATGTAATGAGTCGAATGAAAGTAAATTCGATAAACTTCAATGGATAAAATGTTATTAGCAAATTACGCTTAGAAACGTTTTGAAATATTTCCATTTAATGCGATGAAACAATTTCTCAAATCATTTCATTACCTATTGACTTAGTAAATAAATAGGACTGTCCCAATACTTGGTGTATATTATCAAATATGTTATCAGAGCTTGAATTGTTGAGATAGCAAGTGGTCAAATTTTCATTGCTAACATCATCAGTATAATGAAGTAATTTACTTTTTCGGCTAAGAAATATTTGCAATATATGATTTGGTGACTCACATGAATTTCATATCAGGAAGAAGCAATGAAATCACGGATGTACAGTAAAGTATGTGAAGAATGTGATCATCATTCGCATCTAAAGTGTTATATAATATAAGCGATGTGAGTGTTGTATTTTAGAACTAATAATCTCCGAGCCTAACTCTTAGTTTGAAGCTCAATTTTACATGGTGACTTGAATATTAAGAAATTTAACTGGTCATTTATTTCAACCATCCATTGTAATCATATCGATAATTCCCGACATTTCAGCATTTGCAAAGTACTTATTAAGATTTGAATTCAGATATAGTAGAAGAGTACTTATTATAGAATTGAGTTATAAAACAAACAATAGCTTATTCAACTTCAGCTTGATGTTTACTTTTAGTGTAAGGAAGCTATAAAAAATTGAACGTTAATACGAAAAATGGGAATTTCAACAGTCAGCGTTATTAAAGCATGTACAAACCATTTGTGATTTATCAGGGAATGTGAGGACATCTCGCACTTTGGGAGACTCATCTATGTCAACATAGAGACTAGCTTCAAGCTTTCCAATTATTTCTTCCTGTTCCATCAGTTCGTCCTATCATGCATAAATAGTTAGCACCACTCATCTGATGCTATTTTTCTTTTAAAGATACTTACATGAAACCGAGCAATCATCTTGAATATACCCATGTATCTCATTCGGGAAGAAAAAGAAAATGGAATCTTCGCTGATTCTAATTCCTCTGCCAAGAATTTACCTCCTTCTATGAGATTGAGACTGTATAATGTAATTCGATCACCTGATGAAAAAAGACGCGAAGCAACCATAATTAGTAGAGATTGTAGCACTGTAAACTGGTATGTCTCGACTTACCTATAACTTGACAACTAAAGACTTTTAATTTCTTTGCCAATCGTATGGGAGCCGATAGGTATTCTCGTAATACAGCTATTAAAGTTAAAAGTTCCAGGTTCATGGATTTTCGCGTATTATCATTAGCATGCTTCATTGAAAAGATGCTCGGCGATCCGGCTACTTCCAGATGCCATGTTTCTTGATTGTCTTGTATTCGTATACCGTTGGCATCTACTTTAACGATACCTGATTCTGATGGTAACCGAGCCAACTTTGCTGCATATGAATGTGCTTCAATCCTTATTTGAAAAATGACGCTCATGTTAGTTATTTGCGAATATTATTTGCGAATAGTAAAAAAAGGAATGCTAGACTAAAGCCTACCAATTGAAGTACATTAGATCAAACGTCCTTTCATAAAACTTAAAAAGCGGACTAACATTTTGTACAATATATTTCCTTTCTCCAATATTCATGGAAATTGTAGGAAAGATATCAACAAGATGGTAACTATTTGATGATAATATTTTTTTCAGGTTAGTATATATGGGGACTATTTTATTTAAGCTCAATGTATTAGAACTGTGACAAAATATATACGTACAAATCTGTCAAGACTTTCTTGCAATACAGTTGGAACTTTGGTTTATCACTCACGGTCTGTCTTAGTGCATCTTCGAAACCTTCCTTTGGAGCCTGCATGAAAAATTAGCGTCAGCTAATATATTTCACGAAAATAAAATCCAAAAACCAAAATGAATTGAGAGCAAATGTACATTCAAGACTGCATCTAAATATTTTACTATATGCGTCCAAACAGATGGTGGTTTTAATGCCCTTCTTTTAATATCACTGATAAGATCTGCTGCTATTTCCTTCCCCAGCAACTCCGGAAGATAATGCATGGTATTCTTGAATGCACACACAACTGACATATTGCCATAACAACTATTAATAACAAACGCATTATCGTTAAGTCATTTAGTTATGCAGAAAGAATAAATGAAGGAATCATACTGTTCTATCTCATCATGTGTGAGTTTCCGTTTGTTTGGTGTTGATGTAGGTGTTGGTGTAGGTGTTGGCGTTGATTGAGATGGTGATTGTGTGTACACTTCTTCCACCGGAAGGTGGTTAAACTATTATTCAGGAGGAACAACGGTTGGGATTAAGCGCATAAGCGAGCAAAAGATCTTGGCAAGTAACCTACTACGTTTCCTTCCTGTTCCTCTTCCACTTCCACTTCCTCCTCCTCCTCTTCCTCGTCTATGTTTCGTTTGTATCCTTTGTATTAGTTAGTAACCATTTTCATCTCTGCTTTCGTTAACAAAGTTTTCGGAATACTTACCGTCTGTGGCATAGTTAAGTTTTCTGCGTTTCACGCCATCCTCCAAGTTGACTATGGTTTTTGTGGTATCATATTTCATACCTGATTTCAGTAGAGCTGCTCCTTGCGTTATCTATGATTTTAGGACTAAATGTTAATAAAAGGTATGAAATTATGCAACGCACAAGGTTGAGAGAGAACCTACCGCGTCTCTTTCTAAGCCATCTATTGTATTTTCATCATGAAATTCTTTTGTCAGTCGACGTTTGTCAGAAACCGTCGCTTTCCTTCGTGTATTGATTGATGACAATAACTGAGCTGACAAATTCTTGGCTGCTAGAGTCTTCAGCCAAACTTCCGTAAAGGTCGAAATATGCACAACCTTACGAATTTTACGGCAAAGTGAATAATATCCATTTTTATGCGACCACCTTGAAAGGTCTGTCTTGGACAGATATTCCGTGTCAAGTGTATTTGAATCAGCAATAGCAAATTCAGCCATCAAAAAAGTTACGCGAGGAAAAAGTGAACTGATAATCTACTACCAATCACGCGATTTGTAGTTTAATTTGATTGGCCAGAACGGTAGTATTACACAAACACGAGTTTACAAATGCTGGTGTGATAAAAAAGAATAATTGAAGCTAAACCGTCTGGCTTTCTAAAACGAACCAAATGATCTAGTAAAAGCTGAACCCTCCGGGACACGCGAGTCTCCCGTTCTTGGCTTCCAGTCTTGATGCGTTAAGTCGAGCATAAGGCTAAGAAACCTTATCAGTGGCGTAACGTCTAGATCACAGGTAAAGCGGTAGGGCTGGACCCTCCGGGACACGCAAGTCTCCCGTTCTTGGCTTTCAGTCTGATGCGTTGCGTCGGGGCATAAGGCTAAGAAATCTTATCGGTGGCGCAGCGTCCGAACAGCTTTTTTGCGTTCTAAAGTTCTCAATTACAAATATTGACGTTTAACATTCTTGCCTACTAGATCAGAAGGTTCCTCAATGACAGCGACCTTTGAAAAAGGACATGATTTTCACCATTTATTTTATCTCGATGTATATGAGATTATGTTGCTTGAAACTTATAAAAATATTTCACACATAAAAACCTGAATCCAGGACAAGACATGACTTCAGGTGATGAGAAGTCCTATGCAAATCACTGCCATGAAAAAAGATACAACGAATTACGACTCAATAGGAAAGCCTTACGCGTTTAAGGATCCCATTTGACAAAAACATGAGACGGTATTAAGGTTCCGCCAAAATGAATCAGCATTAAAGTTGCGAATTGATAGACCATGCAAGCTCAGAAATATAATCATTATACGTAAAGAATGTGCTTTACTTTTTTACTAATGTATATACTATTATGCGGTGTGGGGGTATTGAAATAAAATTTTTTTCTGAATATGTGAAAGATCGTTGGAATTAACGCGTGGCAAAAAAAAAAAAAAATACTTTTGACCCGATCTATATAGTATAGTGAATAACTTTAAAATCATGGGAGCATTTTCATACGAAAGGCTAATCGAAAATAAGTATAAGGAGTTAGATTTCTTGGATGTATAGAGGTAAGTTAAGTTAGGAAATATTTTGATAATCACTTTAATTTCATTCAGGACTACCTCCTGTTCTTTTTGATGCTTTTCATTTCTAATCCAGATCTACTTTTTGGAATTATGCTTCCATATAACTAATCAAGGAATGGTGTGAACTAAGTGTAGTTCCCACTTCGATCATTCACGAGAATTCTAAATACTGAAACATAGTCGGAAGCGAAAAAATAAAATATCCTACCATCTTTGGTATCGAAAAAATGTTCTCATATATGAATCGGTCTAAACATTATCTGTAATGAAAGTAAGCAATTGTTTGCATAAAGATGTGATTATATTTTTTATTTATAAATAATTATTACCTTTTTCTATTTTTATTTATAATTATAATAAGGAGTAAAATTAATAGAAAAAAATATAGTATAATAATATATTTATATCAAAAATTTTTCGGGTTTTTAATTACTATTTTTTATTTATTTTAAAGCTATATTTTATTAATAAAAGCTTAAATAAAATAAAATAAAAAAAAAGAAATAATTAATTAATTTAATTGATATATAGACGTTTTGCAGTAAAAGGAGTTAATATTAAATTTAAATTTATTTACTAAAAAAAATCATATTTAAGCTTATAAAGTAAAATTTTAATTTTTTTAGTTCCTTCCTTTTATTACAAAGTTTCCATATTATTTTAAAACAAAAAAAAAAATTAATATTTAAAATCAATAATTATATACAGTCAAAACTCTTTATAGTAAACTTTTGGTTTTAATTATTTTTGTTTATTATAATAAGATTTTATTAAGAGTTCATTATATCAAAAGAAATTTATTATAAAAAATTAAATTGATAAATTAAAAATAATTTATTTTTATTCATTATAATGAACTTTAACTATAATAGATTTATATCTATAATATATATTATTTAAATTTTTTTAAAATAAAATAAATAATTTTTATTATATATAATATTTAAATAATAAAAATAAAGAATTAATAATTATAATAATAAATAATATTTTATTTATATATTGAAGCTTTGCAGTAAAAAGAAAGAAAACTCTAAAAAAAATTTTTTTTTTTAAATCTGGACTTATTTTAATAAAAAAAATCATAATTAATTTAGAAAATAAAATTTTAATTTTTTTAGAATTTCTTTCCTTTTTATTGCAAAGCTCTAATATATTAAAATTATGTTTAATATTTAAAATATTATATTATATAATCTTTTATAATATAATTTACTTTTAAAATATTATAATATAATTTACTCTTAAACTATTATAATATATATAAAGTATTATATAAAAAAATATATTAATAAAATTATTAAAAATTATATAAAACAAAAAAAAATAATTTGATTTATAATTTATAATAAATATATACTGTGAGACTTCTCTAATTACATCTCCTTTAAATGCATATATTATATATTTTTCTATGAATACACACTCTACATAATTTTAAACATATAAAAATCATACAATATTTTTTTATTTAAATATACACACATACTTTAATTATATATTTTTTCAAATTTCATTATGATCATAAAGGAATATATTTTAAAGAGGTCTTATTATATATTTTAATTAATTATATTTTTATATTTTGTTTACTTTTAATATATGTTTTAAAATTTTTTGTTAAAAACTTAAAATTCAATTAAGATCAATTATTTAATGATTTTTAAATATAAATTATATTGTATAAAAATTTATATTATTACATAATAATCTAAAAATTCTAAAAAATAGGATTTATTAAAAAAATTTAAATTATCAAATAATTTTAATATTAAAATTTTATTATTATAATATTTTATTTTACTAATTCTATAAATAATATTTAAAAATTTATTTAAAAATTTAATATTAAATCTGTTTTTTTTTATTTAATAATATTTAATAGAAATTTTTTTTTTATAATTTTCTTTAATATGTATTTTTTAGTAAGTAATTTCAGATCAGATTAATATTAATTCAAAAAAAACAAAAATATTTTTTTAAAATTTTGTATTTTTTTACTACAGAGTATTTATTTATATTATAAAATTAACTTTTATTTATTATAAATATATAGATAATAATTTAAAATATATATTTTATATTTATACTTGTATTTAGAATATTTAGAATTTGAAATTTTATAATAAATAAATGCTTTATTGCATCTTAAAAAAAAATTATACAGTATATATATTTTATATTATTAATATATAATTAATTAATTATTTAATGATTTAATGATCAAAATTTAAATTTCATTAATATCAAAAAAAAAAATTTAAAGATATAAAATTAACAAATATTATAATTAAAAAATTTAAACTTTATAGCTTATTATTTTATTATTAAAAATTTAAGTTTTTATTATTACTATTTTTTTTGTAATACTTTAAAGTGTAAATATATATTATATTATATAAATTTATAAGTAATTTTATATATAATATTATAATACTATTTTAGTATAAATAAATAAAAGAATAAATTTTATTAAATTAAATTATGAAATTATTATTTTTTTTAATAAAGTATTATAAAAAAATAATTAATAAAATAAATTAATTTTTTAATAAAATAAATAAATAGGATTTGAACCAAGATAATAGTCTAAAATTATATAAATCATAATCAGCATTATTGATTTTCCTAGTTTATATTTTATCTTTTATTTTATAAAGTATATAAATAAATGATTTTATTTAAAACGTGTTGAATATATTAAAAAGTATTAAAAGTTATTTAAATAGTAATTAATTGTAATCATAATTTAAAATTTTTTTATTAAAAAAAAATCGTTTAGTACAACTATTCAAATTATTAAAGGACATAATGAATTTTATTTTATTTAGTTTAGTAAAAATTTTTAAGAATTATTTGAAAAAGGATTCTTTGATTCTTTGATTTTATTTTTTCGGCGTTTAATTCAAAATTACCTTTTTAAGATTCATAATTTAATTACTAATCATTCTAGAATTTTGGTTTTGATGATATTCAAGTTTGATGCTAACGCAAAATGTAAAATGAATTTTTTAATTTAAAAAGGACTAAGTGGAATATATGGGTTTTTTAAAAATAGGTAAATCACGTGGTCAAGGGATCAGATGTTATCAAGGTTATTGTTATTATTAATGAGCACAAAAAAAATTAAAATATTACGTACAGATCACGGGATTTCCTAATTTAACTGAATGATGATTTCATAAAGCTTAAAAAACGAGATGTTCAACCAGTTATTTTTTTTAAAAAAAAATTTTCCGTTTCGGCAAAACACCATTTCGGTGTTTATAAATCACAATAATAGTTACAAGAAAACAATTCTAATGAAAATATAGAAATTACAAACCGGATACATTTTTTTTGAGTTTGAATAATAAAGTTAATTTTTTTACCCTTATGATTGTTTATTTAAATACTTTTTTTTTTTTTTTTTAGGAATTTGAATGAAGCGGGAGAGAGACGAATTTTATTTAGCCGTATCATCAATAGTTAATTCCGGTTGTATAACAATGAAGAACAATAGAAATTTTTATTAAGTAGGTAAAGTGGTACTTGAGATTGTGTATTTACGATTCGGAAATCAAACTGATAACTCTGATAACGAAAAATTGAAGAATCCGAATGGAAAAATTTTAATATATCATTGTATAAATGAAAAAGAATAAATGAAAATAGATTTTTTGATGAATTAATTTTTTTATATTGGTTTTAAAAAATGCTAAACCAAAATTAGGGATACTATCGATCATTCAATCATATGACAAATATGGTTTCAAATTTAAAGTTTTACAAAAAAAAAAAATACAAGATCTGTAACAAAATGTTTGAGAAAAAAATAGGTCAATGATGTCAAACATACTCCTTTTTTACTTTATACATCTAACATCAAGTTTCATCTATTGTTTACCGAAAATTTATCGATAACAAAGAAAATGTATAACGGGGGAAATAATTTTACCATGTTTGGGGGTTTAATATTATAAGGCCGAGATTTGGATATTTTTATTATTAAGATTTGTTTTACCCAACAAAGGGCACACACACAAACATTCATACATATATGTACATACAATAATAAAAAAAGATGAACAAATGAGATTACCAAACTTGTCAAAGAAGTTTTGATAATTGGGTGAAAATATTTAATTATGGAAATAATGGCAACAGGCTAAAGTTATTGCGGCCGTGACGACTTTAGTCATTTATGGTAATGTTGAATTGATTTTCTCAATGTATACGATCGACTCCAAAAAAAAATTAACAGGGATTTACATGGCATGATATCTTCATGTCGTGATAGAAATTGACGGGCGAACTATCACCGTAGTCTTCCTCATCACCAAAGAAATTTATTGAAAATGGTAAGGTTTAACACAGATATTTTTATTTTTTTAGATACCAATTGCGCAAGTACGGTAATGAAGTAACCGCATCAATCAAATAATTTCCTTTTTCTCTATTTGAGATATCATTATGAGATAAGTTATTAATAATCCAATCGTGATAATTATGCGATTCGGAATCAACCGAACCAACCACTCCCTTGTTCTTTGGTAGGTGATGAATGCCTCAGAAAATCGATTTAATTTAATGCCAAATTTCTTTTTTTATATCCCAACCCTTTATTTTATTATCAGAAAATTGGGAAACAATAATTTACCAGAAAGAGCGTAAGTGACACAGAGTTCGAATGTTAATATAATACATTATAATACATTTCCTACATTATATCACCCATTATCATCGCTCCATTTATAGAAATTTATTATAAAAAAGACAAATAGAAATCAAACAAATTTACACAAATTAATTTTAAGAAAAATTATATTTATTGTTCTTTTAATAAAATACCGATAAACATCCAATTCGGATAAAATGCATTAATTTTACAGCACTTGTATTCGTGTAAATATATGTGCCCTTTATTAAAGATTTTCATTATCGTTTGTAAACTAATAAAAAGTTAATAGGTCACAAAATTATGAAAAATTTATCTCGTGAAAATACATTTTTCGACAAATGAGGAAAGAAAGGGACAGGAAAAAAGGAAAGGAGATTAAAAAATTAAAAGGATAAAAAAAATAGTTATTTATAAAAAAAAAAAAATAATTAAAAAATAATAAATAATAATTAATAATAATAAAATTAAATTAGTTTGTGAAACTGACTTAATTTCTTTATTTAATGCTGCGTTCAAACAATTTTTGCCAAGGGGCATATTACCGATGACTACGGCACAGAGCGGTCATTTAAAATAATAAAAATAATTATTTGATTATGCCAATGAAATTTACTATTAATGTATTTCCATAATAGGCTCGCATGATTATATGGTTGACTCGATTTAATGCATTCATTTCCTTATATGATGATTTCCTGTAAGGAGTTTGTATAATAGAAACAAAAGGAGAAGTAGTTGATTTCATTTGAAAGCCTATTGACTTCTCATTTCCAATTCGGTTACATAAATAAATTAAGTATTTATAATAAAATATCCCATCACCTTGTAATATGTATGTATGTATCACAGTATATCTTTTACAATTGAATAATTCTCTTTAGGTTGCTCCTGATCTTCCGGCCTTAAGATTTTTTGGTAACTCAACAAAAAAAAATTTTTTTTGTTATGCATAAAACCGTAAAAGCCGTCTTTATTACAATTCCGATTATTTTTAATATAAAGACACTACACATTCCCATCATTTCCTTCCTACACTTGTAAAAAAAAAAAAAAAAAAAAATTATTTTTTTCTTCTTTTTTTGAACTTTGACAACTTTACATTATTATTTTATTCATCTAGCTTTTCTTTGGATTTTTTAAATCGCGAAAACAAATTAGCAAAATCCCGCGCGATTCTTATCAATAATTCATTCAAATTGACATACTTCTTCTTTTGAATAAGCCCCCCTTTATATATATATAAACTACCTTCGCAAAATTCGTTACGATTTACTTCTTTGTAAAAAATAAAAAAAGGAGTGATATTGTATTCTTTTATTTTATTTTACTTTTTATCTTTTCAACATTTACAAAAGAAACGAGTTTATCATGGCAAGTGCTGCTTTAAAAAAATTGGTTAGCGGCCCTATTACCCCAAAGATGATAGGTAAATTTTTTTCTTTTCCTTCCCCCTCACCAATCTTGAATTCTATTTGGCTAAATTTCTTTTATTTTTTTATTTTAGCATATATTACAAATAAGGCAGCATTAGTTATTCCTTGCGATCCTCCGACAAAACAAAATATCACACCACAACAATCACAAAATATTGGTGACGACGATCATCATCCTTTACCTCCTTTACCCACTTTCATACGTTGTCTGGTAAAGAATTCAAACGTATCAACCGCGACTCTTCTTACAACAATTGTTTACTTAGATCGCCTGCGAAAAAAATTGCCAAAACTTGCAAGAGGTATGTCATTGTTTGATTTATGAATTTCATTAAACACGACCTTCAAATACATTGGCGAATCAGATTTTAATGTTCATGATGTCATTGACTATTCACGTGACATGGGCTGACTATTTTATGAATAGCCCATTTGATCGACGCATATGGAAAACTTATTAATCATGGGAAACATCGGCCGAATTTATATAGATTAGAGGGTATTTAGAAAATGATTTGTTCGGAGGCGTTTACTTTAAAAATAAATAAATAAATAATAAATAAAAAAAAATATAGATAGATAGAGAAAAAAGAAAAAAGAAAATTTCCGCCATGATGATCAACGAATGATTTGGGATTAGTTGGGTTATCATTTTATTCTTTCTATAAGAAAATGATCATTATTAATTTTCCTTCTGTGGAATTTTGCAGTTCGAATAAGTTTTTTGGGCCGTGTTTAATGATATTTCCAAATTCGTATTTAATGAAGTTTTGACAACTGGTCTCTTTACTGGTACTAACAAACCTTTATTTTTTTTATTTTAGGAATGCACTGTACTCGTCATAGAGTCTTCCTTGCTACCTTGATTATTACATCGTAAGTTTTCGGATTTTTTCATTTGTTGTTTACTTATGTAAACACGTTATAACATTGTCACATTTATTTACGGCATGTCATTGCATCGAATGAGTTTCCAATTTTATACTTTAATCTTATCTTTTTCACGAGATATTATCATTATTACTATTATTATTTTGATTCATTCTAACCTCATTGAAAAATATAATTTTATCTCATCTAGAAAATACCTTAACGATTCATCACCAAGAAACAAGTATTGGGCAAAATTTTCAGGCATTTACTCTGTCGCAAAAGTCAACCTAATGGAAAGACAATTGCTCTCCTTATTAGATTATGACCTTAGAGTTCAAGAGTCAGACCTGTTACTTCATCTTGGAATATTTTTGCAACCCCCTTCCTTGAAAAATAATCAAGCAATTATGATAAACACTTTGAAACTTCCAACCCCTCAACATCAAAGAGCTCTCTCATATCCAAATCAACCTGCCCCATCTCAACTTTCACAATTAAAACATCAAACAACTCCTTCGAGACAACATTCACTACCAACTATACAAGCCTCAACCAATTCCTCACTTTCAATATATAATACAGGAGTTCAATCCATGTCAATACCTACAATCATTTCATCATCAATGAGCTCAAATCATAGTAACGCCACGCTATCATATCCATCATCTTTTATCGATGATTATTGTCAAGAGTTGAGTGGCGACGACGATATGGATACTGATGAAGAAGAGAGAGATGATTATGTTCCTAACGATGAAACTGCATCAGTAATCGATGAAATATTTGAGCAATTTCCTTCATTTAAACAAAAAAGAGACCAATATGGAAGAAGGCTTTCTTCAACCTCAACTTGTTCTTCAGGGTCTTCATCTTCTTCAATAGCTACTCCCATATCAGCTCAAGTTTATCATCACCAACAACAACAGCAACAACATCAACAACAATATTATCAACAACAGTTTTACCTTCAACAATCCTATTTATCTCAACAGAAATGGAACTTTCCTTCTTCGATAAAATCCCTTTCTTCTACGCAAGACGCTGGCGTCAATAACTTTGTTCCACCCTACTGCGGTCATAATCATCATCAGATGGTATTACCTCCACCTTTTCCTTCATCTACTATAATACAAGGGATGATATATACTTCCACGCCACAAAGATATTAGTGTGATATCCCCCTTTTCTTTAGTTATAAAATGTCGAAACCTTTTTTTTTAACATTTTAATAATCATATCAAACGAAAAAGAACAATTGGGCTTTTAAGCCTATTTTTATGTTTGAAAAAATTTTTCTTTTATCCGAATTATATTCCTCGGGTAAAAAACCAAAAGTATATATTTTATTATATTCTAGTACCTTCAAAAATTCGTTGGAAAAAAATAAAAATAAAAAAAAATAAAAAATAAAAAAATAAAATTTTGAAATTAGATAAGAATTTTTTGTACGCGAATCAACAAACACTCTTTTTAATTAGTTCGCGTTCTACTTATTTTTATTTCTTGTTAAATAATTTTTTAAATTTTTTTTTTTTCATTCTTGTATATACACTTTTTTTTATAGAAACTTTTTCTATTTTTTATCAATTTGATTTTTTGGTATTATCTCAGAAAAAGAAAAAATAAACGTTATTTCATATTGTATAATAATAAAATAGTGATGACTTGAAACAACTATATTTGAAAATTTTGCTAATATCTTTATAAATCTTATAAGCCCCGGGTACTATTCTGAAAAGTTGATCTAGTGCCTAAATTCTTGATTAAGTAATTTACATAATTCTTTATTGTTATATTTATATATTATTATTATTTTCTTGTAATTTATGTAAATAATAGCAAAGTATATTATAGATTATATAAGATATAATATTAAAATTTTTATTTTAATTATAAATTATATTTTAATTTAAGTTTTTATGATATATTATAATTAAATAGATGGTAACATAATATGATTTTATAAATGTAACTTTATAATAAAAAGTAATATATGCAATTAAATTATAAAAGTAATAAGTTACTGCTATAATAATCAAAAAATATAAGAAATTGATATTTTAAAAAATGCATTTGAATTTAGTAATAAGCTTATTTCTACTTTTTTTTTACTTTAAAAATTTATTAATAAGATTCAATAAGAAGAAATTTATTATTTAAAGTTATTAATTATAGATTTTTTCATTATAAAGATATTTGAATATAATATAAATGATATCTTTAGAATTATTAATAATACTTTATTATTATCTTAATAAAAGCAAATAAAGCTAAATGCAAAAAAAAAATATTTATAAATATTCTCTTTTGATAATATATTAAGGAATTTTCAAAAGTTTGTATTATTTTAAAAAACAATCAATAAGTATTATAATACTATATTGCTTTTTTATATAGAATTTAATATAATACTAATACATATATAATCATCAAAAAAATATATAAGAATTGCTTATGCTTATTATAGAATACTTTTATAATCTAATTATAAATTAAATTAATAAAAATTAAGATATAACAGTTAAATATAGCAAAAAAAAAATGAAAAAAATAATTGAACAAATTAGATCTAAAAGTTTTTGCAATAATATTAGATATATTAGTTTTTTAAAAAAGGTTAAAATTTACAATGTTAGTAAAAAAGAATTAAAACACTTGATAGCATATTGTTTATCTATTATATGCTTTTTAATTAAAAAAATTTATTTTAATTAATAACAATTTCTTAGTTAAAGTTATCAGGATAGTATTTTGTTAGAAGAACATATATGTTTAGGCATAATATTTCAAAAGTTTATAAAAGATAAGATATTAATAGTTATATTATATATAAAAATACTTTATATATACTTAAGTATTCTCATTTAAGAAATTTAAGCTTTTATAAAAATTTGTTATTTTTATTTATATAAGTGTAATTTAAGATGAGACCATTTTGGATTATGAAAATTTTAATACTTTATTGATTTTTGAAATTATTAACTAACATTATTTATTAATTAGAATATCTGGATCTTTCAATATTATCTTATTATACAAGGTTAACATTAAAACTTTTATTTTTTAAAAATTCACATTTTTGTGTAACTGAAATATTTAAATTTTGAAATTCTTTAAACCAATTATCCGAGTTTCAATAACGATAAGAAAAAAGATAAATTTAAAATCACACTAATCACATGATTCACGTGATTTTCAAAATAGAATAGTAAAGAAATTAAGAGCGAGCGGTACAAGCTTTTCTTTTATTTCCGGGTAATACTTGTCATCAAAGATTTTAATAATTTACAAATTATCGATATTGATTATTTGACTGAAATAGTTATAAATCTTTTAGAAGTATAATATTGAATTACATTGCATTGTCAAATAAGTATTAATTATGAAAACAAATAATATTGTTGAATTAATTGAAGATACTGATGGATGTACTGAAACTGGAGTTATAAAAGCTATATAAAAGTAAAAATACAACCACATATTTTCATTACTGTTCTCAAAGGTATATCATAATAAACAAACTACGTAAACATCTGTGACATTTTTAGAAAGGTTTATTGTGATAGCGTTATAGACATATCTATTAAGATAAATATTTGAAGTAAAACTTGTTCATACCAATTCACGTATAAGGGCAAATAACAAATCTATATTCAAAATGTAAAGGATTTTATAGATAATATTGATCGATATCTATGTGTAATTAGATATACAAAATATACAAAAGTCGACTTGTATACTTGGTTTGGTATAACGTTTTCGGTATAGCCAATTTCGTGCTTTGAGGCCATATTGCCCGTGACAGCCACACAATTAAGGGGGTTTATAATAGGGATTAAAGATCAGATTGTAGTTTATCATTTGATTTTTTAGTTTTTCATAAAAAGAAAGCAATTCGTTAGCTATAGTCGTTTAATAAAGTTTTGTTATAAATTTGCCGATGTCCATAAATTTTTCCGAAATGAAGGCGGTGTAAAAACAAAATTTTCACATACATGAAACACGGAAAACATTTGGATGCCAAATCAAGCTTTTCTATAACTAATAGATTGATTTTCTTTACGCCATAATTTTTTTAATTAATTTATTTATTAAAAATAAAAATAAATTTATACATACAAGGGAATTAATTAAATTTCTTACATTGCCACAATTATTTAATCTTTTGTTTATTCCGAAATAAAATTGGAAACCTATTCAACTTCCAACTTACGAACTTCATGGAACCCTTATAATGACTGTGAACAAATCGAATCGTCGAAAGCAAATAATAAAGAATAAACATTTTCCAAACAACCCCATAACAAAGGACAAAAAAAAAATGATGAATAAAAGCAATAATATATTTTTTTTTATTTAGGATTCCGATTACTAATGTCCAAAAAATCATTATTCAGCTAAAAAATAAAAAGCAAAGTGTGCTACATTTGTGTGACAATACAAATTTACTTGATTATCAATTTTTTTCATGAAAATTTATTAAATGACAGATGAAGTAAATAATACGGAAATTTCCGGTACACGTTCTTTTTCGACAAAAACTTTTTTATTTATCATTATACAAGGAACTGAATTGCTTGTTTTATGAATTCATTTCATTCCTTGTTTAAGCAGCAAATGGAATGAGAGATTTGATTGTTATTAATAATATTATTATTTCACATTGATACATGGGTAAATATTAATGTTTTTATTAACAGATTTTATTAACGTGCCTGTTTAAGCTTAATGACAGAGTTTCAACGTGTTTATTTAAATAATCGCCGATACATACAGAGAACCAATGAGCTTTTCGTTTTAAATTCTTGTATTTGCAAAGTTATATACATCTCTCCATGTATTCCATTGAATCACAAAACTCATTATGATGATGATAAGTTATTCTATCAAATGATCTGAAATAAGGTATAAAAACCACGTATTCTTGACTTGGCTTTTATTTTTTATTATCCAATTTTTTTGCTTCCCTACCTTCTTGTTATACCTAGAAAACATTTTATTATTATTAATTTTTATTTAAAAAAAATGAAGCAACAATTAAATAATTCTTCTCTAAACAAGAAAATTTCGAAATTTTTCGATAAAACGAAAAGCCACAATTATATCCACCGACACCTCCAGCAACAGTTTCAGCAGCAGAAACTAAATAATAATAACAATAATAACAAAGATTAATATCAGGAGGAATGATGGTCCTTATTATTGGATGTGGAATGGGAACCTGCCGCTAGAAATGACCAAAGTATCATGCATCAAATACCTATATTGTCTAGATCTAGACGATTCATCAGAATTTCTGCCGTCTTTCCAACACGGGATTCATAAAATGTGATTTTCTGTGCGGGATCCCGATTATCCAAATTATCGGAACAACAATCATATTCTGAAAACCTTAGAAGAAATGGAAGGTTAGAAGACCATGTTGGATATAAGTTTATATGTCCAATTAAATAAATGTCCAACACTGGTCTAGCAGTTTGATTTACTTGCAACTGAATAGTTTTTTTTTTTTTTGTTTTGCGAAGCATTCAATTAAATTTTAAATATTAGTAATTCTTTATAAAATCATATATGGGTTTCTTAATATAATATAAAAGATATTATTTAGGAGCGGTGAACAAATAATAGGGTCTAGCATCTGATTGGCAATTTTTTTTATATTAGTATATATTTTTTTTATAATCAAATTTTTTCATATCAATATATTAGTCATTCTTATTTTCCATACTATATAAACATTAAAATTCTCTCTGATTTTGAATAATATTGATTTTCTTCGTTGAACTATTTATTTGAATAATTATAATACTTCAAAACAAAACCAAGATGAAGCTGCATCTTGGATTATATTTCGTATAAAAGTTTTGTTATACATGTAAGTTATACATAATATCGATCATAGAGCTAATTTTAATGAAAATGCTATATAAATGCCATTTACAGTACTTAGTAAATGATATTATTAAGTCACCTCCTAATTTCATGAGAGATGATTGTTATTTTTATTGTATTCTATGTAAACGATAACATAATTCATTAATAAATTATAATAATCAATATTAAATAATAAGAAAAGAAAAGGATTTTATTTAATAAATACAAAATGTTTCAACGCTTACTGCCTCAAGAGAAAAGAACTTTCTAATCTCATTCTATCGAAAATATAAAGCGAATCGAACTCCTTTGATAACAATTTCTCCTTCTCAGGGCTTTGTCACGGAATGTTTTTTAAAATATCAATCAATCGCGGCTTATGCAAGAATAGTCAAATTATTTGCTCATATATGATAATTATTGAGTCTAAGTTTAATTATGGGTAATCACAGATAACTTCACATATACTATAAATTATAAATCACCAATTACTCAACAGAGATAGCTTCCATTATTTTGTTTTATCAGGAATCTACATACTTCTTTTATTCTACAAATATTTATTTGACTAGGCTTGGTAAATCAGCCTTTTAACTAATCATAAGCACTTGTTTTAAGTATAATAATGTTTATAAGAAGTTTATTGTATTTGAAAATTTCACATTTTGACAATAACAGTATCTTAAATGCTTCTTCGAATTTTAAATGAAAATATTTTGATAATTTAAATGATAAGAAATAAAAATTAGCAAAAAATTTTATGAATATTAACTGATTGGCTATCTTATTTGTTTAATGATGATATAATAAATTGAACTCGATTTAGATAAAAAAAAATTATCGATTATAATGAAAATTGACCTATTATATTATAAACAAATTTGATTAGTTAATAATTTAATTAAAAGAAATCTATAATACTTTAAACAATTATATTTACTTACTAAATCCATCGAAAAAATTATTTATAAAGGCATAAGATTTAACTTTTTTTGTTTCTTGATCATCAATTTGATTGGCGTCAAATTTTCTTTTACCTTTTAAATATTTAATATTAGTAATGGTAAATTAATGGTTTTTTTTTATAATAAAAGCAAATTTACCAAGTTCTAAAGCAATGCTTTGATTTCTTAAAACTTTTATAGATTCGGCAGATTTTATCATCGTGCTTAATGGTCTACTTTTATAAATGGCATTGGGATTATTTGTTGCTATAGGCCCGATTTCTGGTGAATTTCTAGAAATAGTTGGATAACTATGTAATTCTGAATTGAGAATACTAATAATTCTTGATTGTATATCAACAGCTGTTGGTCTATTGTATGGATTTGCATTCCAACATCCTTGCATGAGTTCATTATAACCTTCGGGTGCATTTGTAACAATTGGAGGGCGAAGACCGTCACATATTTCAATAATAAGATATTCATCATGATTTCGATTCCAAAAAGGTCTTCTACCTGTCAATAATTCCCACATAATCATGCCAAATCCGTACACATCTGAAGCTTTAGTATATTGTTGCCCTTGTAAAATCTCCGGCGCCATATATGGTATAATACCATAAATTTCATTATCATCAGTATTTGATATTGATGATTTACTTATGCCAATATCACATATTGAACATTTAAACCCGGTGATAAATCCAGTGGGTCCCATAAAACGGGAAATCATAATATTTCCGCTGTGATAATCACGGTGAATAATATCTTCTTTATGTATATTTTTAAGCCCTTCAATTATTGTTTTTAGGCCTCCCAATTTGTCTTTCCAAGAAAGTTCAAAAAAATATCTAATTATGAAATGGGAAAGGTCTAGTGCAAAAAATTGCATAATTATATAAAATTCTTGAGTGGTAGGGTCACGAGTTATTCCATAATATCTAGTAATATATTTGGCATCATCAATATTTCTTTTCCAAAACTTATAATAACATTTAAGCTGAAATAAAAAATTTATCAGATTATTTATCTTACATAAGATGAATGATCTAATTAAATTAGAATACTGCGTACCTCATTTAATTCTTTTGAATTTAAATTAAAGGAGTTGTTAAGTCTCTTGAGAGCTACTAACGGCTCAGGGCCGACAAACCAATTTGCTCTATAAACTTTACTAAATCCTCCTTCGGCAATAAATTTTACGTTATTGAATTTTTCATAAGGAATAAATTTCATTTTTCCAATACTGTCAACACGAAAAGTTTGGGTAAACCTTATAAAATCATCAACATCTTTATTACCACTTGGTATCATGTTGATTCTTGCTTTATAGCACAAATGACAAATCTGATGAATTCCAACAAACTTTTTTCTGTTTCGATTGCAATCATTGCATTTTTTGTATTCTAGACTAAGGGTAGGTTGAGCTCGTTGAGTGAAAATTGTGTCATTTGATAATAAGTAGTCGATTTTTAGTTTATAGTTAATTGTTTGTTCCATGTTAATAAAATTATTTTTTTTAATAAAAAAAAAAAAAAAGAGAAATCTTTCAGAAATTATTTTATGAATAAGTTTCAGAATTTTATAAAAACGAATTCCTGTATTTATATTTCCAAAAAACGGGACCCGTTAAGTCGTCATATATTTTAAAAATAAAATTAATTACAAGGTTGGAACTGGTTGTTAACCTGTTAAGGGTTGATTTTTAGATGTTTATCAGATTCATGGAATCGATAGCTGAAAGGAATGGTTCAAATTTCTTGATTTGCGAAAAAGAAATTAATTTCAGACAATATTTTTTGTTTCTCGAATTCTTTTCTCATGTGAAAGATATAAATTATCATTTACTTTGAATATCGTAGAATATCCGAAATTAGTATGACAATACAAATATCAATTACATCCTTGTCTGCGGATAATTCATTATTTCTAGTTCATGATTTGTAAATGAGAAAAAAACAATACAATTAATGATGGGCACCGTGTAACTTTGTATCCAAATATTGACATGGTGATGTAAGTCGCGACTAAATAATAACAGAATGCATATACAGTATTTGGAACATTAAAGGGTAGATTATTTATTTCTTGTCATTTGAATTTGGTAAGTAGTGCAATAATCTTATACTGTGAAAATTCTTACTTTGAAAACTTGATTTTTTTACTTTGCTCAATCATCTCAATGTTTAAGTGCATTATTTCATTTTGGTATTGATTGGGATGATCAATAATTGACACCATTATATTGAACAATTATTTTATATATGGAAATTTCCGCATCAAGTGTTAAAGTTTAAATTGAATGAATATATTGTGAAATTTATCAATACAATACAATTAACGGATCTCTTTTTCACATAACCGATGGCTGAAAATTAACAATTCAAGAGGTTCGACCCTTTTACGCTCATTTGGTTATTCAGATTATTCTTAATTAGTTAAAATTAATCGATAAATTTGGTAAACTACCTATTGGATATAGAGAAACTTCCTTTTTATTTGCTATACCAAAAAAAAAGGAGAAATTACGTAAGGTTCTTCCAAATCAACTTACGAAATAAGTTTAGCTCACATCTAACAAATAGGAGGATAATTCGATAAATGAATTCATATGTATTTTTTACGGTACATTTGGAATAGAAACTCCATTAACGGCCATAAGGATTTTTTTTATTCTATCGTTTAGTAAAATGACCGACAAAGTGATTGCATTTTAAATTCACAATATTTTTGCCTACGGGTATAATATTTTTTTTATGAATTGTGCCATGAGAAAAAAAAAGTATATTAAGATTGATTTTTGGTTTATCCTTTTTTTTTATCGAACCCGTTTAATAATTGATTATTCAATCGCTAATTATTATAAAACAATAATGCGATGTTGAGATGCAATACAGTTTCCTTTTTTGGAAATGGATTTAACGCGAAATAATTCAAAGCTAAGGATTCTAATTGCCATGTTGTGAGATAAACAATTCCAGCTTTTTTATTGGAAACTTATTATTACTTTTTAGTCATTTGAATTAGTAATTAGTGTAATAACCTGTGATACAGCGAAATTCTTTTTCAGATATCCAAACTTGATTTTTCAGTTGATTCAAAGAAAACCAATCATTTAATTATTAGTATAACGGCATTTATGAATAAATGAATATATGTGAATTTTTTTTTAGTTTGATAAGGGGGCTTCGCACTTATATTGCTTTAAAAGGGTATATTACAAACTGAAAGTTTTGCCCATGACCGAACTCCGAATTCATAAATCAAATTGATCAATTTTTTTGTTTTACAAATCGAATATTAAAATATACTCCGTCATTGTTGTATCTGATTTTTTTTTTTTAATTTTCAACAGTTATTATTAAAATGTATACTATAAACTGAATATTTAATCAATAAAATACCAAAAATAAAAAATTGTTGGTTTTAGTTAATGATTGCAATTAAAGGATCACAATATGCACGCACCATGAAATCATGAATATCCTTTTTAGAAAATAGAAAATCTTTTGTCTTTTGTTTGTGATGAATCTTTCTCCGAGTCACCATCTTTGGTGTATATATATTTTTTTTTAAAAAAAAAAATTTTTTAATTATTAACTGAATAACAAATTACAACATTTGGCGCATACCATTGAATTCGGTAAATCTCTTTTTAACGACCCTTTCCATCTATTGGCGTATATATCCTTTTGTTTTTTAAAAAAAAAAAAAAAAATTGGAAAACTTATCATAAAATGCGAACCGTATACTTCTGATTTTCAATCTCAATTTGTTAAAAAAGGAATAGTTCAAATGAGCCCTTGAACGTTGGGTTCCGATCCAACTTTTAATCAATTATTCTTTCATCATTAATCTCATAAAACTACTACAAACAACAATTCTAAATTCTAAAATGTCTCCGTATATTTCAAATAAAATGAATTAATGTTTAAATGACGTGCAAAACCTGTAGAAAAAAATAAAAAGGTATAATTAAAAAAACCTTTTGGATTAAGTTTTATTTAATAGTATAATAAAATATACCTTGAACAAATGTAAAAAATGAAAGAATTAACATGCAATATTAATATTAATAGAAACAATTTTATGCTTAGAGCAAAATCCAGAACATTTTTTGGAGGATAAAAAAAGTTTTAAATATACTCGTGTTTCTCTGATGAATGGTCTCATCTAATCACCTTCACTTACCCAAGTTTTTTTATATAGTGACCTTATTTGCGACAATCGATGTCATTTGCGTATTAAAACCACGTGATTAGTAATTTTGGCCTGATGTTGTTTGTACCTCTGAAAAGTTTTTTTTTTTTTTGACCACACAATAAAAATTTCAAATCTTACTTTACCTTCACAATATTTTGTAAAATTATAAAGCCAATGTTCAGTAAGACTCCTTGCGAAGATTTTGTTGTTAATAAGTGCTGGCAATCTATGACATTCCGCATGTGTTATTTATGACTAGAAGATAATGATATGAAGGTAAATGCTAATATATAGTTAAATAATTGACATTTTTTTTAATGTCAGAACCTTATATAATTTAAATAAATAGTTGAAGAAAATTCTTTTTATAACATTCGATTATTATAGCTTAAGACCAATTGGTTTTGCTTTATTGCATTATAGTACTCCTCAAGAATTTTTAGATATAATATTCCAATTGCTGGAATTTCTATAAAGACTAAGAAACTTGAAACTAATAAAGTTAAGAAAATTTGTAGAATCAGATATTTAAAAGGTTAATAAAGTATCGTAATACTCTTAATAGATTTTATATTGAAGTCTCTTCATCAATTCATCAACTGATTTTTCTTGTAATTATATTGGAATTCTCGTCATAATAGAAAATTGAAACAACAAAAATAATTCTTTCATAGAAATCAATGGAAAGCAGCAGAATTCTCTACAACAAAGACATTCAACAGATAACAAGGAAACGGTTTGGAAACCGTTGTTAAGCCGGAGCACAAGTGTAACGAAAGAGATCAATCATGTATCGACTCTATTTTTGAGCGGGACATCCTGTGTCACAGTGCATAGAAATATATAGTTCTTCGCTTCACTCTGGACTAATAAATAGATAGATCATAAGAAATTATTGAATCTTTTGACGGTAAATCAGATTCACTATAGTATCTGGAGTTTAATTAACGAAAATTGGTTATTACATCGTCCCTTAATCAGATCGATATTTATTGCACTCTGCAACTAAAAGGGCCTCATATTTAGTTGTTGTATCAGCTTTTCAGAACTGTAATTATAGAGCTGGTAATTATAAGGTGCTATGGAAAAATCAATTGATGCAGAAGTTGCAGCTCTTTTGAAAATTAGTTCCTCGCTTTAATTTCATTCTTGGAGAATCTTTCAAGTAATGATGGTAGATCAATATTCTATTGCGTTGAAAAGTCATATAAAAGCTTAATCAAATCTTTTGTGCCCTAATTCTACATCAAAATCTGTAACACTGGAAATTTGGACTTAAAATTTGCGCCGGAATTTTGATTTGTGTTAGATAGATAATACTTCAAAAAGTGCTCGGGTTGTGTGTTCAACGTATTTTGGTCTTAGGATCATATGAGACAAAGGCAGGTACTTAGTCTAGATTATCGAGGAACAGCATTATTATTATTTATTTTACACACCGTATTTTAATAAATTTGATCAATTATAAATACATGGATCTAGTGTCGCGGATTGTTAGGGATATTTCTATCATGGTTCCTGAACTTCTTCGCGAATCATTATCAAATAGCTTTTGATGCTAAACTTTTAAAGAAGTTTGATCAAGTTATAGAAGTTTTGTGTCCGACCTTCCAATCATTTTTCCCCAGTCTAGCTCTTTAATCTTTAAATTCTGACAATTATTTGTTAAACCAGCTCAATGATTAATTAGGTCGGACGCATAAGCTTATGATATTGGAAATCCTGGTGTTCATCATGTAATTACTTCTGGAGAGATATCAATATGTTTACTATAGAATCAAATTTCCTAGCAGAGGGTCAATTGCAAGATGTTTAGAAGACTCTTCAATAGGTGCATTATTATTAATTAGTCAAATTATCAACAAGATTCTAAGATTTGGAAAATGCTTTCCAATTTATAGTACGAGTTAGAAGTCTTGGAGGACTCATCAGTGATGAAATCACGGAAATGTATTGTTCAAATTATACTGGTTGCGTTATTAAAGCTGGTACTAAATTATTATAATTGGTTAGTAATTTATTACAATTATCCTGAAGATGATATAATATTTCAAATCATTTTTATGCAAATCTCACGGATTGTCAAAACAATTTACCTATTGATTGCTGTACTACATGAAATTAAACCACAAGAACCCATACAGTACATATATCCAAGAAAATTAGAGAAATTCCTGCATGAGAAATTTTAGACGATGGATCTTTTGGGGTATTAAAGGTGGTGGCGATGTGTTAGAGATCGTGCTGCAGTAGATGCTGGTGTATTCATTGGACCAGATAGCATAAGTTTTACAGTGGAAGTACCGTGTAACTCCGAATAAGTAAACAATATATATTTATATTTCTCTTTATATTCATAATAATGTATTAATTTGATAATACATTATTATCCATGGGTTTCCAAGAATTTGACTTTCTGATAAGGAAAATTTTACAATGTTAAGTGGAATTTGCTTATGATCTAATTTAATGTGATAGTAAGTTTGAAATTCTATCTGAATGATTTGTTAATTAATTTTTGAATGGTGTTTAGTTTCTTATCATCTTCAGTATTTCTCGGTGTTGAATCCAAATCCCTGTAATAAACCGTTGTCATTTCAATGTTATCATCCGCTTGGGTAGCTTCAATGGTATCATAAATGTATTGACCGGTTAAGCACCGAATGATTCCAGTTCCGAGAAGCCCATCTCAAATTTCACGTTCCAACATTGCTGATTGATATAATCATTCTAGCCTGATTTTAATCCCAAATAATATAACAAAAAATTTTTACTATTCAGTTTGCCTCAGGAGGGCCCACCGAAAATCAAGAAACAAAGTGACGCAATTTGAGCTGGGCCCGATATTGCAAACCCAATATGAATACAGTCAACATTGGCATTTCAGAGATTGGCTACTTGTGATGCCTGAAAATGAGGACAAAATAAATTCATCTTTTAATTATAATTAATAAAGAGTGTCTTTTGTTATCTATTAATGCTAGCATTTCGATCACTTCAAAATATTTAAACAAGCGTGACCGTAACCATTCTCAACGCCTTTACCCAAATTATAAATGTGTATGGAATTTATCTTAAATTTTTTTATAAAAGATCCATAGCATATTTTAAATATAAATATAATTAGTGTTGATAAAAATTGATGAATATTATTAATAAAAAGAACACCAGCATTAGTAATTTTGTTATACATGGTAGTAATTATAGTTAAATATATTGTATCAAAATAGAAATATATGTAATTTTGACTTTTGACGTTTGCAAATTAGTATGGGTCGTATGTATAAATTAAATTTTAAAGAGTTATATAATAAATTCGACTGTTTATTAAAAATCGATAAAATTTTAAAATCTGACAAAAGATATTATTGAAATAATAATAGATTATCATCCAATTAATTCTTCATTTGTTTTTTTTTTTTTTTTTTTAATTTTCACTCCTATTATTTTCGGTTTTGGTACCATTGAAGTCATTTTTTTATAATTCTATTTGATAAAAAAAAGAAATTGCGTATATTTACCGGGGATCACAGAATAATTCTGCCAGGTGGTAATTCTACCCCCATATAGGACATATATGGGATAAATAGCCGATAAAACAGGGATCATTTTTGACCAGTATTCATGATTTTTGAAAATGATTATGTAGTTTAAGAGCATCCTCTCACTTTCATATAAAAACGACTATTGACACTTCTTTCATTTACAATTTACAGTTCCACCTTAAAATGTGAATGGACTTTTGTACATACCTTAAAGTGCGCCCTCTTTGGAATTTTCTTGATCATTTTCGAATAAGAATGCGTTTTCATGCTTTATCATTTAAATCGATTATATCTTTTATTATCAAACTTGAAAACTTTAAAAAGAGTCAATATTTATTTTTGCATAAAAAATAAAAAAATCAAAAATCTATCGATAAGGCACAGTAAATCATATGATCCGTAACATGATTTTAACACGTGATTTGTTAAAAATATCTTTTAGGTTTCTGTATATAAAACGCAATAAAAATTTAATAAAATTGGGAGCCTTGGGGGGAAACTGCCGGAATAATCAAAAATGAGTTAATGCTAAATTTGAACATATTTCAGCCTAAAAATCATATTTGGCATATAAAAGTAAAATTAATTTTTCCCGGTAGTTTCCCCCTTTCTATTGCAAAGGTCCCAAATATTAATTAAACTGTGAATCTCAATTTTTATGACATTTGAATCAATTCAAGGCAATAAATCTCTGAGATAAAAATTGGATATAAATCATTAATAAATTTAAGAAGGTCAATTTGCATTTTGTTAATCATGTTTTTTCAAATGCAATATTATTCATTTATCATTTTTTTGAATTATTAGTCTGGATATCTAGATTGTGTAATACAAAAATATCCTGATGTTTACCCGATTGGTTTGTATAATAATAATTAAGCATTTAGTATTATTTTTTAATTTGTTCGCATTTAGTATTACTGCACTGTTTGTGTATATGCATTTATTTAGATTATAAAAAAAATTAAAAATAAAAATAAATTTATTGTTTTTGTTATTATTTATATGATATCTTATTCTGTATGAGGTATTATTCTAAGTAGACGTGCTTCTTCTACCTTACATTCTTGTAATCTTTTGCCTTGCTTAATACGTTAAAGGCTATCAAAAGAGAACTGCTTAAAGATTATATTGTTGAGTAAACAAACTTGGCACACTGTAACAAACAAACAAATAAAAGTCTAGTCACAAATTCTTTATTTCTGATATCAATTTTAGCCTTTGGTATTGTGAGCTCTAGACTATTATGAACTGTGATAGTCTACGCAAGACATATAGAAATTTGCAACCTATAATATAGTATTCTGCTCTTATTTTCTTAGTTTCTTTTTATTATCACAATGGAAATCGCTTTATCTCCTTTTGACATTGTAATAGTACTTCTTTCGTATGTATCAAATTTTACAAAAATAGCGAAGGTGGTTCCTATTCTTTATACATAATATCTTTATTATTCCAATTGCTTCATTTACTAATCCAGTTTTAGTTTATAAATTTACTATTAGTATTATATGTGCCCCTTTTACCAGTAGTAATTCAGCTTCTAGTCCTTTCATTACTTCAAATTAGCTCTTTTAGCTTCTTTTCCACCTGTATGTAATACATTAATTTTAGCTACTAGCTGATTTAAGGATCGAAGCATATATATATTGACTCTATCTACTTTATCCCACGTAATTTGTATTGAAACAGCGTCTGAAAATCTGTCTTATTTTGTTCACTTCAGCTTTTCTTCAAATCTGCTGTTAAGTTTCTGCTAATTATTTATATTATTGTCTCCTTTGTATAACTTAAACTATAATTATGTTTATTATTATTTTAATTTTTCATATAGTGCGCATATGACTAAACAATATTTTTACATTTGTACTTATAAAAATATTTTGAATTTATGTCATTATGAGTAAGTTAAACACTGGTAAGAATTAGCCAAAATCCAAAGCTCCTCATTATCTTCTTTTTCTTTCATCTTACCTTGATTGTCATTATCATTAATCTCTTATGGGATTTTCAAGCATATTATTTGAATTATGATTTATTGTATCAAAGTATTAACTAAAACTATTTTATAATATATTTTTATTATCATTCAATTATTCTATATTTTAATGTGAAACATGAAATAATACCTTTATTTGACAGAAATCTTTCTATTGATCTCCATTACGAATTGGTGATAGATATGATTATATTTGTACAATATTTTTATTTTTGCTTTTTTTCATTATTCTTAAATGTTTTTATATGTTAGAAATAACCTAAATAATAAATATTCTTCGAATTCTTCAGATCAATCTTAGTATCTTTTAAGAGATGATTGTGATATATATTCTGCTTTATTGATTGAACCAAACTCATTGCTATTTTTATTACTACCTATTCTACAAATCTACTTAGATGCATTATCATTGAAATTTAATGAAATATATGTTCAGCTAGAATGATATAACAGGATACTGAGCATAAGATTACAAGTTTCTTGAGCTGATATATCTCTTTTTATAATAATATTGAGCAGTAGCTTTTGTATCAATATGATCGAAGAATCATTACTATTACTGTTATTAAAGATCTAGTTGAATATATTTGAGAATGCAAGTAATCTAGAATTAATTTTGCTTGCATAATTTGAAATATATATACAGTAAATACTTAATACTAGTTTTAAATTAACATTTGCTCATCATTCTTGCAATTGTAATCTATTGTGAGAATTTACATAAGGATTATTTCTCTTCAATACAAGTTTTAGCTGTTTATATTTGTCTTTGCATATGGATATTTGATCGTTACATTCTTTGAGATATCTAAATCTACATGATTGCTATCCTGATTTATTTGTTCAGATACAATACGCTGTGCTATATTATATATAGCATTATAACTTGTTAATAAGTTCTATGTAATCTTAGATATTATTCTCTATTTCATCTTATTTTTTTTGACATGAATGACGGTCTGGTATTTCTGCATTTATTCCAGAATTTATTATTATAACTAACAATTCTATGTATTTTATTGCGTTTTTAATCATTATTTTATTTTCCTTTATTTAAGACTAATTTATTATAGATGCATTTCATATTTTTCTGATTCTGTGTACATCATACTCCTCTTATACTACTGTTTAAATCAGTACTACTAATTTTCTAGATCCTATTGTGATATCAATACATCATTAAGAAAATTCTCAAATCTTCTATTAAAAAACCAGGATACTATATATAGGTTTTTAATGATGTTTATTATCGTCATTTGGATGACTTCATCTTGTATTTATCATTTTCACCTTTTGGCATTAAATTGTATAATTCAAGTCAGTGAAAATCTGCTATGATGAAAGTAAAAAATACTAGATCTTATTTGATTTGCTTTATTAGATTTGACAATTCACTTTTTCATACCATCCAAAACTGTTGTGATCCCTATATTTCTTCACTATATCTCATAATCTGATTAGCTATTTATTTATCACCATTTTCTATTATTTCCTATATATTACTAACATCGATTTGCTCATTTCTTAAGTTTTGTTTCATATAGACTCTTCCTTCTTATAATACTTTCTATCTCATTGTTGAATTTAATGTGAAATATATTTACCAGTTATTCTGTATAAATCTTCTATCTTTGTATTATATTAAATATTTAAAATACTTGACTAGCTTAATTTCACTTACGCATTCTAAATAAAAATCTTTATGATCATATGAATAAAGCATTGAAAATTCTCTCGCCATATAATCTGATATTTGAAATTCATTAATAAATATGTCATTTATCTCTAATCATGCTATTAATATATTATTGCTTTGTATATGATTAAGTGTATTATTGATAGCAATAACTTCCTAAGGTATTGAAGTTAATATAAGTATGAATGTATGTAAAATATTTGCCCAAATGAAATAATTTTTTTAATATATATAATTAAATATTTTAATAAATTTAACTTATTTACACTATAATAAATAAAATAAATAATAAAAATTTATAAAATATGCTATATTTAAAAATTATTAAAATGATTGGTCATTTGATAATTGAAATGACAGGTCATTTATTATTTGTCATTTGAGTCATTTACCAGTCATAATCATTTGGCGAACACTGTCTTAATATACGCATACTTGTAAGTTTGGCTTTTCTTTCTATTTTGTTTTTATTAACATTTTAGTTCATACTCATATATAATATATTCTTCGTATTGTTCAGATAACTTGTTAATTTTATTTTTATGCTTTTAAAGAGTTTCGGGATTAGTAGTTTTATCATTTATTTTATAGAATACTTTTATTTGATAGATAATGAAAATACTAGATTTTGATCTTTATTAATTAGGAATTTATTTCTTATTATTAAATTTAGAAACAATTAATTATATATATATATATATATAGATTAATTATCTTAATTATATATATATATATATATATAGATTAATTATCTTAATTATTTTTTCATTTACAAAAATTTGTCTCAAAAGACTAATTAATAAAACTTTTTTATTTTATTTATTAAATTAAATATTCAGGATTATCTTCGCATTTCATATAATAATTTCTTGCTTATATGATTAATTTAATTAAACTCAGAAAATTATATATATATAAATTCAAAAAAATAGTTTTACGTGATTTTGTCTTATATAATTTTTATGATAAATTTCAGAACGCTCTGAACTTTATAACAGCTTTACCATTTTCTAGTTTATATAATTGAATTTAATTTAAATAATAATGAAATATTATAGACGAATAAAAAAATGTTAGAATATCTTTTTATTATAAGATTTTCTTAAACTAGTTAGTGTCTTTACTATTTAAAATTAAGGAAACATCAATAATCAGAAATTTGAAATAACACAAATTTCAATATATTTGTATATTATGTCAATTTTAAGAGCTATTTTGTCTAATATTAAAACAATTCTCAATTAAAAGTTACTATTTTATTTTAAATTTACAAATTAGAATTATATCATTAATTATCATTAATTGATCTACTAGTATTAAAAATAAACTTTTATATATATTACATAAAGTTTATTTTTACTACTTTATT